CTGAAAGTATTGTCGAAGGGTTCATGTGCACTTTAAGCATGATGAAATATTGTCCATAAATAGCACTTTGTGCTATTACATTGGTCGTTTTAATCAGGAAGGCCCAAAATTAATGGTGGAAATGAAAATTGAAAATGGAGAAAAAAACTTTAAGTCCAGATAAAAGAAAACCAAGCAAGCAACTCCATCCATAGACCAATATTGTGTTGTACACAGGCGTATTAGTTAAATGAGGAATTTGCTTTGAACATCTGTGTTAAATCATGTTTTTCAATACGACCAAGCATCAGGGTTGAAGTAACAGTTGACACAAACTCCATTCAAGTTTAGAACCCATGCTGTAAAACAGTGTTGTAGTGAGTACCAGTTAACTACCAGAACACACCACTGAACTATGCTTTCCAGTGAGTAATAATCCTACCTACATTTTAAACCAGGTGCCAAATTGACTTAAATAAACTTGCTCGTGAGAAGTCCCACAAGATTGAAGCTGAACTTGAAGATGGTGCAGGAATAATTGTCATGCACTTGGCCATTACTGGATTAGATGCACCAGGCTGTGAGTCTGATCTTAGCGTACACAAAGATGACCCAGCTCGCAGGAAGGCTATAGCTCAAAGATTTGGCCTTAAGAATACTCCTAAGAAGATTAAGGAAATTGGATGGCTTCAAGTTAAGTTGCACAGAGCTGTTGGGCTTACCTCTGCTGATCTTGGTGGTGCTAGTGATCCATTTGCTGTAATTGAGGTCAATAACAAGCGTCTTGTAACAAATACCATTTACAAGACTTTGAATCCTGCATGGAATAAGATTTATGAAATGTGAGTTAGACTGTCAAACAAATTGTCAATTTTCATTCAATGAGTTTAGTAGAAAGTACTGCATTTAAAAATTTACAAAGCTTTTCGCTGTCGTATCACAGCATGGGACAATCACAACAGAGCTAGGCTCCAAACTAAGTGAAAGCCCAAAGATTGAATTAGAATTTAGGAGTTGATTTTTGAGAGACGAAAACTGGAGAACCCAGAGAAAAACCCTCGAAGCACAGGAGAGAACCAACAAAAACTCTACTCACATACGACATCGAAATCGGCAGGACTCAAACTCGGGTCACATTGGTGAGAGGCGGCGCATTAGCAGCGCACACCACCAGTGCACATTGACACATATATTATGACTTTGGTCATTTTTTTAGGGATAAGTAATCTATAGCTGAAAAATAATCAACTGTAAGTTGAAAAATCAACAAACAGCTTGTCAACAAGCCATACATACATCAGTCAGCATGTGTTGGCTGCTTATACTGTAAAGTATGTTTTCTAACATAAAGTATTACTATTGCAGTAAATATTCTCCTGGACCCTTTTTTTGCCAGTCACACTTTACCAGATATTCATTATGCATAACTACATTAATTTTTAACATTTCGTTATTTACTATTTTACAGGGAAATATCTGACCCACATGATGCACTGGACATCACTGTGTTTGATGAAGACAAGAGAGGAGCACCAGAATTTCTTGGTCGTGTTGTTATTCCCTTGCTTCAGGTAAGTACATAAATGATTGTGCACAGTATTTTTATTTACTAAAAAGGTTAAGATATTGAAAGATAAAATTACTAAAATCTTTAGTTTCAAAAATTAAAGCTACAACTACATGTATTGTATATATTGTATGTTTATAAATAGTCAATATAAAATGCTAGGTTTAGACTGCGAGCTAAGTCCCTCTATTTCCCTTGGTCACTGTCCATCTGTCTATCTGTGTTGATTGGTCAAGGTAGATTGGTTATGAGTCAAAAGTCCCGGGGGGGGGTTGACTCATAACTAATCTTCCTCGACCAGTCAACACAGAGAGACAGATGGACAGTGACCAAGGGAAATAGAGGGACTTAGCTCATAGTCTATGCTAGGTTCTGCTTGTTAGTCTAAACTATTTGATGTCAACATAACTCTAAAACTACAGTTGATTTTTTTTATTACTTGACCTTTGTTTTCCAGATTACTGCTGGTGAGAAACGCTTGTATCAGCTTAAAAACAAGACTTTGGAAGGACGAGCCAAGGGTCACCTCATTTTGACCTTGGATTTCATTTACAACCCAATCAGAGGTGCTGTCAGGACAATCAATCCACGTGAACCCAAAGTACTGTATGAACCACCAAAATTCAAACGACAGGTAAGAATATACTGTACTTCGTAATTGTACCTACAACAATTGTAAACCATTTGATAAATGAAATATTTCAAAATCTCATTACAGCTTCTTCAGCGTAACATTGACAGGACAAACAAGCTGGTGGCAAGTTTAGTGTCTGCTGGAGCTTTCGTAGGATCCTTGTTCACATGGCAGTACAAATTTAGGAGTGCTTTTGGATTCATGGTATGCTAAAGTCTTAGTGGAATATAATAACATAACAAAAGGCTGTGCAGTTTGAAAGTTTTAACAAAGGATTCCAATGGTTTGAATCAGATGAAATAATGTTGTTGTTTATTGACTGAATCCTTTTCTGACCTTAAAAGTAATGGCCAAAAATAATAAATAAATAGTATAATGTGAGACTTTGTTGTTTGCAGATCTACATCATGTTGTGTTTGAATTTTGACTTCTACATCATCCCACTAACCCTGCTACTCAGCTTCCTGAAACAGTATGTAGTGTGCATGTTGCTGACAGACAGAAACGTCAATCCAGAAGATCAGGTAAGAGTAAAGATTGTTATAAACAAGAATTAAGTACTTGTATTATTGGAACATCTGCTATTGATTCAAACAAAAAGAACCATGGTGCCTTGATAATGAACAACATACTTTCAAAACAACTTACACTTTCAAAACTCATAATATGAATAATGTTCGTAAATTCAGGAAGGGGCACCTCAAGATGATGATGATGACATGGATGATGATGACGATGCTGAGCCTAAAGGCAAGAAAGGGGTAAGACATTAGTTATATAATATTCATTGTACCAGGTCTTGCATAGTTTTACAAAGTTTCAAAATGCTATTTTAACTGTACATCACATACAGTAGGTCTACTGTACAGTTAATAAATTAATTGTAAACGAACTAGTGTGATTTTGTGGAAATCCTCTTTCTTACAGGAAAAAGGAAAGAGCTTCAAGGACAAGCTCAATGCTATCACCAGTATATGTTCCACTGTACAAAATGCTCTAGATGAGGTTGCTTCTAATGGTGAAAGATTAAAGAAGTGAGTTATAATGTGTCTGTAAAACACCTGATTAATAACTACAGTAGAGTCTTTTTCAGTGCAATTCCTTCCATTGCAAAAACAGGAAACTGAAATATGGAACCTTTCCCTTTTTTTTAGTACCTTCAACTGGAGCGTCCCCTTCTGTTCATACCTGGCYTGCGCTGCCTTCACTATTGGTACTGTAGTCCTCTACCTTGTTCCACTCAAGTTCTTACTGCTTGCATGGGGTATAAACAAATTCACCAAGAAGATCCGTAAACCTAATGCAGTAGACAACAATGAACTTGCTGATTTCCTGTCACGTATTCCATCCGATGTTCAACTTGTAAGTACTGCACAAACAGAATAATTTCAAATTGAATTGCATCATGTTATTATGACTTCTTAGAAATTTGAAACACCCACCAATAGTGTTACTTTTTTCTCTCTCTTTTCTTATTATAGTATATCTACAGTGTACATGGAATTTACCTATAACTTTATCTTAGTTAATAATCCATTTTTTTTTCTATATTATCATATTGTGTGCTAACTTATATATTTTGTTTGGATGATTGCAGAAAGAGATAAAGCTTCTCAAGACTGATCCAGCACTGAGACTCAAGAGAATTGATGGCTAAGCAAATTATCTTATCACAGAATATCATTTGTAGAATCTTAGTGGTAATACATGGTACAAGACTGGAACATCTTAAGTTGGATGGATGAGCAAGAGGTGGCCAAGTGGCATTCCAAGACAGCAGAGAAAGTGAATGGAGAGGTGGAATAAAAGAATAAAATGAAGTAAAGACAAGCATTAATTGAAATTTTTGCAGCAAACTAGTATACAAAGCTTCTTAATGGTGAAGCCTAGTACTCTCAAATCAAACATTGAAGTTTCCATTTTATTATTTATTTCAAGAATACATTTCACTAAATTATAATTTAGATTTTACTGTACAGAATTGTTGATGAGCAAATTTATTTATTGTACATAGGACAGTAAATACGAAATTGATAGAAAGGATTAGATTAGATGCACAACTATTTGATATTTATTTATTTAATGCTTAATCTTTATGGTTTCAAACTTTGGGATGTTCATTTTTAACAGTTAACAGTCAGGGGAAGAGTGATTTCACTTACATTTTCCATGAAATAAAACTCAATATCTACCACTAATAGGCAATGCCTTCTAGTCAAAAAGCAATAATATAAAGATAAAACTCTTTGCTTATTTCATGGATTTATATGAAGTAAAACCACTCTACACCATTGTTATACACTGTATGAAGCATTTAGATGGCAAATATATTAGACTTGTTTAACAGACCATTCAGTTTTAGTGTACATTTTGATAACTAAATTTTGAAATCCTGTATTTATTGCTTCCAATAATGGGTCTGTTGGTGGACCTTTTTCTACCATATTTGTCTGTTGTTCTGCCTTAGTTTAAGAATCTGCGCTATAAGTTTTAACTCACCCACCTGACATAAAGGCTAGTTATATACAGTAGATTTTAAAATTTTTTGCATTTTTGCACCATTGCAATAAAAAACACTTAAATTAACCTACTTATGATTCTCTGTACTTTGACAACTGAAACATAGTATGTTACATATTAAATGTTACCATTATGTCCCAATATACCTGTCACACAAGAATCAAATCATACCAAAACTAAATGGCAAGCACACACACACACAATTATGAGGCCTATAAAAATAGCTAGGAGCAGACAAAACAGGCTTCAAGGACAATGGACCACCTAAAAAGTGGAGGGGGAGGGGTTAAGATTGGAAAATATAAGAGGCTAGTATATACAAAGGGGAAAAGTGTGAGGGGGGCTAGTCCTACCCTAACTACTGTAGGCTGATATCCATTTCAAGCTTGCTTACAGATGGACCCCCAACCTGAATGGCCAGTGGCCATAAGGTGCAGTAAAATATATCATAGGGATCATAGCACTAGGGCAAGAGGTTTAACTGGTGGGACAAGAGATAGGTAATTAAACTTAAAGAATACATAAGACTGAACTGAATTTTACCTTGCATCCCAACATAAACAGTGACAAGGTATAAAATTATACAAATGTTAAAGTTCGAAATACCATAGCTACAAAAATCGGCGTCATCAAACATACACTCGAGTGCATACAATAAACCCTTGAAAAACTCCTCTTTTACTCCGACGAAGGACTAGCGTCCGAAACGTCAGTAAGTTTTTTCATCTTTTCACGGTGTATAATTTACCTTTTCATCATTACTATTTCATTAGAAACACCGACGCAGCTCACACTAGTTTTTAGCTAGTCATATCCTTGAAAAACTGGTACTAAGACAAAAAACGACTAGTACAAAACCCTTTGCTTTAGATTGCACCAACAAGACCCAACAAGTTATCATCACAAAAGACTAAAATGTAAGGCTTAATGTACAAGTAAAATTCCCCATTCCCTCGGTAATAAAATATAAACAGAATGAACCTTATAAGTTTAAGCCACACTTACTTCATCAGCATGTGTTCCAAAGTTTCGAAATGTTTAGATAAAGTAGTGAGTCGAAACGAGACTCCACGAAGTGTGAACAGAGCGAGCCGCGCCGCGCACATCCTCTAGTCAAAGGCGGGAAAATAACCGCTGACACACAGGAAGCCCAAAGAATGAGTAGTATGTAGGGGTTTTTGTGTTGCATTCTCAATAAATGAATAAATCAACAAATCAACAAATAAAAAAATAATACCGATTACATTTAGTTTGACACAAACTAATGAATATTTACTTGAATCGCTAATCTACTAATTAGGGTAAAAAAATTTGTTTCTACAGTTCTTTACAAACGTTTTGGTGGGTTTCCTGTGGTGATAACAATGCTCCCGGACGCGCCCGCGGACGCAGATTTTCACAGCAAAACTGCACCATTTGAGAAACATCCCCTTCCTAGAAGTCAGTTTTTAAGCACTGAATGAAAATAGTTTCAGAATAAAACAAACCATTGAAGTACGACGAAAAAAGGAATATAGTTGAGTTCGTTAGAAAAAAAACATTGCTGAGTACAAAATAGAAGGCCCAAAATTTCAGTACTGGAAAGATTTACTAAGCAGGAAATACGTTTTTACTGAATTGATTTCGTACTGGACACACAATGAAAGTTCCAATGACAGGCATTTTTTTCTAAAATCACATACAGTTTCCTTCAACATTTAATGTATTAGTACTTATGGGACGATGTCCTTTCGAATCCTCATATGTTTAATAGTAAAAGTCCGGCAGCTTTGATAAGGGAAAGTAAGTCTTTTTTTGTTGGTGGGAGGAGGAGGATTGGGGCTTCAGGGGGGAGCATCATCTGTTAAATATACGGACATGAAGTACTTCCCGGTAAACTCGAAAGCATAGTGTCTGCACGACTTAACAAATTGAGCTTTCGTGGAGAATTCAACCTTTTTATATTGTCATTAATTTATTTACACTGATAGAAGCTATAATTGCTTTTGCATTTTAAATTTTCAAAATTCACAAAAAGTAAAGGCAAATTTCATAATTTATTTTAAACTAGCTTTGAATTTAAAATTATTTCATTAAGTTGTATTTAAGTTGTGTTTGCCAAGTTAAATCAGCGATTTTATACACTTCTTACATTTTCTTGACACAATCACAAAAGAACTTGACATCTTGACATCTCCATCATCCCACCAGCATCTCCATCAGCACCATTATCATCTCCATCATCACTGCTATCATCTCCATCATCACCACTATCCTCTCCATCATCACCACTGTCATCTCCATCATCACCACTATCATCTCCATCATCACCAATATCATCTCCATCATTTCCATTATCATCTACATCAACACCACTATCATCACAACCATTATCATCTCCATCATCACCACTATCATCTCCATCATCACCACTGTCATCTCCATCATCATCACTATCATCTCCATCACCACCACTATTATCTGCATTATCACCACTGTCATCTCCATCATAACCATTATCATCCCCATTATCTCCCTTAAAAGTGGTGTCACATACTTCGTCATCAATTCAGTTCAATTTATTTTTCAATGACTAATAAGTGTAAATAGATAGATAATTAAACAGTTTGAGTAAAAAGGGGGAAAAATACTATAGATTATTGTGGAAAACAATTCATGCACAAATCTTAGTGCAGCAGTTTGTTTCTTCTTAATTAAATACCTCAGACACGCCGGTTTGCGGCTGATATAGGAGACAGACAAACTTCTTTATGCTTGTCCTGGTATGTATTACCATCATCAATGAAAGCCGCTCAAAAAATTGTTATGGGTTACCTCCAATTTGGCAGTATGGTTCCTCCTCATCACTGACGGCAGTTCACGTCACACAGTTTGCGAAATATCTTTAACACTGCCCAAAATTAAGCGTTGCTTGCAAATACTAGAGAATCAAACTAAGTTTGTCAGAAAAAATAAAAGGAGCAAATTGTGAAGAACATGGACCTGTATCTCATAGCCATGCATGTTTCGAAATAACTGGAATGTCTGGCTTATAGATGTTCTTTATTAAAGAATTAAAGAGCTAAAGCCATCGTTAAACGTACAATCAACTCATTCAAAGCAAAGGTTTTGCCAAATGACTTTAGTTGAATTTCTGATTCTCTGACATTGTTAGAAGTACTTGCAATTCAATTGATCTTCGCTCTTGAGAATGATGCATGATGCGTGAACGAAACGTCAAGAAACTTGAGTAAAAGTGTCGCCACAGATTTTAGAACTAAAACATGTTTCAAAAGCTTTTTCATTGAAAAGTAAATTGTTATTGCGAAATGAAAGCGAGTGGATTTCAGGTGCCTTTTGGTGTTATCATATTGCATTTCAAAAATGATTATCGTAGACCATATACAATACAATAACTTTATTTCAAGATGTAAACGCGATAACCTATTAGAGTTAACTAACTTACGGCCCTCAAAATATGTAGTGATATAAACATCCCAAAGCTGAGTAAATTAATAATTAATGTTAATAACACTTCAACCTGGAACTACTTCAGCGGCGTGAAATCCCTCTTGAATTATCGATTTACTCTTTACCAACTTAGGGTTTTACATATTTGCCTCGATTTTGCCAGTTTTTCAATGGATATTCTACAGCTTTCCCGTGTATCCCACGGAAGTGATAGCCCAATGACTTTGAAGACGAGATACGAATGCTTTCTGCTGTCTTTTTATTGATGTCACTGAATGAGCACGGTGCGCCCACTGTATGTGGCCGGCGAGGGAGCTTTCTTTTTCCCATTGTTTGGATTTTGGAAGACTTTCTCAAGTCTCGCAGTGGATCGATTGGAGGAAACTCTTTCAACGGAACATGTACAAACATTCTTTGTTCTTTTCTTGGTTTTAACATGTTCCTTGATTTGCCCTTTTCTTTTCCTAATTTACTACTGCAGGTTTCTGTGGCTTGAGGTGTTGCTGCAATTTCATTCAATCTACAGGAACATGAGTCATCCGTGCAAGGATTGCGCACATTCACTGAAATATTTCCAAAAATTAAATCATTGATATCTTGATGTAGGTTATCCTTGGGTATAATCTCATTAGAAACTAGAGAAGAAGATAGAGATGATCTCCTAGATAATTGATGGCTATTTTCATCGTCGTAATCTGGGGAGCTTTTACTAGCATTCTGGTGTTGTCTAGGTCTGGTTCTATCAGGACAAACCCTTTTTTTGTGCTCCGACGCTTTTGTCGTCTTCGATAACGCTTCCATCATATCGACATTAACATATGAGCGAATTGTAAGGGACGATGGCTCGCTCTCCTGTTCACTTTCATTGTCTTTCGATAAGAAATCTCGTGTCCAATGTCTACAAACAAAACCTTTGGCAAGTTTGCTTGTTTGCTTGACGGAATGGCTGTGCTGTGAAAGAGAAGGCTCTTGACTTCCAGTTGCCGTTCGGCTGGAATGGCAGCGAGAAATACATGTATTTATTTCTGAATTGATATGTGGAGCACCAGTTTTCAATGATCCTTTTAGGTGAATTCTTTGATTATGCTTTACCACCCATTCGGAAGATTGTCGTAGTCGTAGTTGCTGTCTTAAGTCTTCGACTGTAAATTTCCCAGACTGCAAACTTTTTTTGTTTTCTTGGTTTTTTGAGGAGTTAACGATGATTGGCTGAATATAGATACCGTTGCCGTAGCCTTTCCATCCCTGGGGAGGAAAAAGGATATAACAGCTTATAACCATGAACTACGCCAAGCTTTATGCATGGATATGGGCAGGTATTATAGTAAAATAAAGATAAAAAACTAAACTCTGAGACACGATAAAGGACATAAAGCATACACATCGTTTTCTATGGTCCCTTGGTATGCTATTTTCCCCCTCCCCACTAAACTAACTCACGGCTTTCTACGAGTGATTCTTTCTGGAAACAAAAAAGAGTTCCTGAGTTACTGCAATCGCAGATTACACTGGCTTGTTTTCATGGATATGTAAGTGAACTTAAAGCTGAAAAAATCCTACGCTATTATTCAGTTCAAAGTACATTTGTTTTTCCTCATTTCATTAGTGTACATACACATATTCTATTGTACAAATACAAAAGACAACAAACCGGTAGTATTTCAGCTTTTGTGACTTCACTCTTCGTTCTAGTTTCAGCCTTTACTTTGCCCTCTTTACTGTTAACTATGGATGACGGTGTAAATCCCTTGTGTTCAGTCTCACATGAAGCTTCTTCTTCATGAACAGCATCAGCAAGTCCAGCAATGTCATCTTTTCCTTGTGATTTACTCTCGGAATTGTCATTTGCCTCCAAATTCTCTTGTGATTTAAAGGTAACTGAGACAGAGAGCAAAGCTTGTCTTTCATCCATCGTACTTGTACACGACTCTAGTTTATCGTTGCAGCCGCTCATGATGATCTGAATTTAAAACAAAAACGTCGATCAATTGCTCCCTATTGTAGCCTCGTCATTTTAGCACAATTTTGATTTTTTTTGCCTAATTAGTCTTAATTAATTGCATAAGTTATTTAGCACCTTGTAAAACATGAACTCTATCGTAATGGACTGGACCCAAAAAACACGGACTCAGACAGGAGAATCGAATAAGACACATAATCAATGTTAAGCAATAGTTATATTTTCTTTTATTCTTATTTCTAATCATGCAATATAAGTATAATTACAAAAAAATGGCAAGTACTGTACATAAGCAAAGCCCGGTCGAACAGATGACAACATGTTTCTGTTTTAGGTTTTTTAAACATGAACTTTAGATATTAAAAAAATAACAAAAACGATCAAATGCAAACAAATCATGCACTCGACAGTACAAAAGCTGTTTAAATGTAATAACTTAAAACTTTGATGCAGAAAAATTGCAGTAAAGTTGAAAAGTGTACGACCTTTCCATATCATAGTTTAAACCATGAGTGAGAGCCGGTACGTGAAATTCGTAAGACGAGTAATGAACGTTTAATTTTAGCAATACGTGGTCTTGTACTGTGAATCTAGATTTTCTGAATAACGCAGACTGAGTGGGACCGAATTATAAACTCCAATCCAGTCCATTGAATTCTCTATTTACAACATGCCGTATGCGTCAAAGATTTGGAGATAACTAACAACCATGTACATTGATTAAAATTAATTGCAAGCTAAAAGCTCCAGATTCAAGTGCTTGTTTTATCTAATGAATATAAATGTACAACCTTGCAATGATACTGATCAGTGAGCTCGATTATACTTTTTGTACAGGAAAACTCCAAACTCGTAATGAAACTAAAAGCCATAATTTTGAATTTTTAAGAAAGAATCACTAAAGCTGATGGCAAATTAAGATATGTTTGACAGTATGTTAACTTCAGTACACAAAGTTGTAATTAAACTAATAATTAAGATAACAAGTAACTTGATTTTCTGGTATAAAAAAAGCATGAAAAGCATCACATGCAAGCAATATTTTAGTGTAAGAAGAAAGGTATCAATCGTTTTCGTTTGAAAACGATTGTCGGAACTGCTTGTTCAAATGAAAGACCATTAAAGTAAAGACAAACTGATAGCATGCCAACATCGTTTTGCTAATACTTGCTATCCCATGGTAAATTTGGTTTAAATGGCTTTTTAGGTAACTTCATATAATCATGATATATTACTCGTTATTATCGAATCGGCATTGCTTACATTTGTCTTGAAGTGCTGGCCGAGTAATTGGGAAATCTTGAACTTGGTAACTCATTCAATTAAATCGCATATTTCGTTTGAAGGGTCCGCCACTGCAGGGAACGTCTTTCTATCATTTGTGACCTCCAAAAAAACGGTAGTTTTGTTATAGAGTTTATGAAAATGAAATTTACAATGTTCTAGACTAAATTTCAGAGACGACTAAGCTGTTGTCTTAACTAAAACTGTATTCAATTAACAGCTTCTCTGTACTCATTTAAATTCTATTGGTCCAACACCTCAATGAGTTAAGAGGTCGTACCCAAATGCTATTCGCTTATTGGCTGATGTTTAATTATTGACTGCTCGTCTTAATTATCTCACATAATACTGTAATTATACTTGCTGTACTCACGACCAGGTTGTCAAGTGAATGTTATTGTAAACAAACAGAAGAGAGGCGTAGAAAAACTGCGGTGCTATCCTATCAAATATAAGATTTGATTAACGCTTACAAAAAAAATAAAAGGTTTATTTGAAATTAATTCTGAGTTATCCTACGTGCTCAATTGTGATAAATTAACCCGGCGTTTCTTGAATTTTATCGTTGTTTACGTATGTAGGTCATAAGTACGAAATACAAAATGAACGCAGGACGTTTTATAAGAGTGCTCTTAATCTGCCTTGTTATCTTTTGGTTTAAAATGATTGTTTCCAAATTTCTATTCAAACAAGGGTCTTCAATGTCGCCATATGAATTATAAAAGCCCTTTTTACTTGTATGTTTATTTATGCACGCAACTAGTGATCCCTAATTGGAATATATTTGCCATTTAAACTGTCGTCTTTATGTTGAATTTAAGTTCTACGATATTTGTTTTCGTAGTCTTATGTAGTGGTATTTCAGATAATAAAAAACTCGATATTTGTTAACGGATATATTAATTGATAGAGTGGGATTTTTTATTTTTCTTCTTTCTTTTTTTACACAATGTGACTGAAGCTTAGTAATGTCAACTTCCCAAGATCAAAAGCGTTCCGGATACCAGTCAAAAGAATTGAGCTGTACCTGCAATGCCACCTGCATGCACGATTCCCTAAACTCCCTAAATAAGGTGAGGGCGTTTAAAAAAAACACACAACCTTCGCCTGCTTAAGGGCAAAATTTTCTACCAAGAAAAACCATTACATTTTTACAAGCTTTTCATGACCAGTCAAAGAAAAAACTAGTCTTTGGATTTGGTTGTATCTTCTCGGATTATGAATGAAATATAGCAATGACGACATTGCAATTTGGTTAATTGTTTGGTCAATTCTCATTGGCTAATTTAGTACCCGATGATGTGAGTGACATATCACCTTACCCATAAACAAGCAAACATTTTCTCTTCAGACTTTGAAAAAATTTCTTTCGATCATCAAATTAAGAGAAGGTTCTTAGTTTTTTAGTATGGAGAGAGTCTCAATGGAAGGCGAGGAAACTGAAAATTCCTCGAACGTGAAATCCGATGAACATCCTTCAGCCAAGGAGGAGTCAAATGAACAGGAACACGAAAAGGAAAATTTGGATTCAAAAGATGACGAGACTAAACCACAGGGACCAAAGAAGGAAAAAATTAGAAACATTATTGCTTTTTATGCTTTTGGAGCACTCATCTATACCGTCTACTCTGTAATTATTGCCGGTGCTCAGGATATTTTAGCGGGAACGTTTATTCCAACTGCTGCTGTATTGGTAACCAATGTTGGTCCATATTTCTTAGTGACAATGATAGCTCCATATTGCATTCACCGCGTTCCGTATGCCGTTAGAATCGTATTTATTTATTTTACATTCACTTCTGGTCTATTTACGATCGTATATGCTAAAGAAGTGTACATGAAATTGGTGGGGATTTGTATGACTTCTCTTGGAGCTGGAACAGGTGAAGTGTCCTTTTTCACTCTTACTGCTTTCTATGAACAAGTAACTGTCTCGGCGTACTCAGCAGGTACTGGAACAGGATTTATCTTAGGACCTCTTTATTACACAGGTAAGTCAACTTACCAATAGATTACTCTCTGTAAATATATTTAACCAATTTAGCAATATATTGAAGAAGTAGATGGCTAGCCGACTTATTACGCCTACCATTCAATAAACTCCATTATTTGATCCAAAAAATACCGTCTGTAGCCGAAGAAATGACCTATTTAAAAATAACCTTAAAAGTGATCAAATTTCAAATCAAGACGATAACCCAGGTGATGAAAAATGTTCATGATTACTTGTTTATATATTTCATAATTCTGTTCACATGACTAGAAACGTTTCATTCTCTCTAGTTTCTTATCATCATCATCTTTATAACCCCCACCACCATAACTTTTTTGGGCTCGTAAAATATCGAATTCGGTTCTTGAGTCCAATTTATTATGCTGGGTGCTCGTGTAGAGTCCTAAAAGCTAACGAGTACCAGCAACTGTAACTAAAACATCGTAAAATTCCGACTGACACAAGCAAAGGAATTCCATGGATATTCCGGCCATTGTAACTGCCTGAACATTCCAACAGGTGCGATGCAGACGGCCAAGCTGCGTAACAAATCATTCGATTTTCGATCCTTTTCAAAAGAAAAAAACTAATGATTTTCATTTTTTCCCCCTTTTTTTTCTTAGGTTTAACAACATGGTCTTGCGTCTCACCAAATAGAGCCATGTTGATAATGGCAGGTTCACCTCTTCTTTACGTAATTATGTACATCATAATGGACAAAAAACACGTCAAAGTTAAAAAAGACGCTGAAACGTCAAAGCATGAAAGATTAACGTGGAAAGAAAAGTTCACCACGGCCGGCAAAATCTTACCTTTAGTAATTTCATTATTTGTTGCTTATGTCTGTGAATATGTCACTATTCAAGCCATAATAACCACTATGGCATTTCCCAACGCACCCTTCCCCCCACGAGTTCATTATCGTTACTATATATTCATATTCCTCGCAGGCGAGTTTGTAGCAAGGTCTTATTTAGCCGTGGTATCATACATAAAACCTAGTTTAATTCCTAAGCTAGTAATCAGAAGAATATGGATCCTATCACTCATTCTTGTAGCACACCTGGCCTTTTTTGTAGCTGCTGCATGGTACCGCTTTGTTCATGATGTCTGGGTTGTCTTCACTTTTATATTCACAGCTGGACTAATTGCAGGTGCAGCATTTAATAATGCTTTTGTTATAGTGTCTCAAAGTACTGCACCTAAGTATAAAGAGTTTGCAATGGGGTTTGCGACAATTGGAATGGGTGCAGGAACTTTCTTGGCAGGTGCGATAGGACTCCTGGTCGAACCGTATCTTCGTGAACATTGCCTGCGTGTCTCAAAAGTCCCTGATTATTGCTTTACTCGACCTTTTGGAGCATGGAATGCTACAGCGGCAAGTAGCTGCTAACTGCAAAAGCTAAGAAATAGAAATAAAGTGGGGATGAAGACAGCCCTATGGCTAGGAAATGGAAGCCAATACTAGGACTTATCCCTGACCTTTAACAATTATCTAATTTAAAAATTATTTAATTTAAACATCATTAGAAATGCAGCTTCTTTCCGTGTTTTTGTTGTTGTTGTTGTTGTTTTCTTTTTCTCTCTTTATAAATTCGACCTCTAAATGTTGAGCAAATAATTTTATATAAAAAGAAGAAATAGAAATAGAATGAAAGCTGTCTTCTATTGACAAGCTCAGTTGTAAATTACCACATGCATGAAACGCTCTAGTTTACTTCCCATTTTCCGTGTGAGATTATTTTTTAAGGCCTTTCCCTTGAAAGCGTCTTAAAAGATGGAAAGGCATTAAAAGTGCCGTTGCACCGTATAAATTTGCAGTTTTTGGCCTCGCGATCTTGCTGCCTTGTCTCACCAGAAACTCTTCTGATGCTCTTATAACTCTTCTAGACCTTGTTCAGGTACCGCTAAATGACAAAAGGCTTCGTTATATGCCAAGAAAGTCAATTTTTTCTTTCTTCTTATTGGGAAAGATGGTGCCACGTGATGGCCATAGAATTTCACTATTTCCGGCAACCGTTCTGGGCGGGCAACAAGTCTACGTTTATATTTGCCGGGAATAACAATACGCTATTCGAAATCAAATAATCAAAAAATCAATTGCTTCTTCTTGGTATATAACAAAAATCAGTACTAATTGACTGGAAACTCGGGAAAGCAGTGTATTTTGTGGTGCCTCAACGTCGATGTTTTCAAAGCACGCTGTTTCCCTCGATCGGTCCCAGACAATAAGTGCTAAATGTTAGTCTGCAGCTAACTTATGGGCGTAGCAAAGTTTTCTTGCTTTTAATTGTTTGAAATGGAACTTGAATGGAGAATACAAATTAAAATATCTAAGATTTAAAAAAAGGCTAGGTCTTGGTGCTATCTTGGAAACGATAGCAAATATGCGACAAGAGTGAGAGACGATGGCTAGGTGTGTTGAAAGAGGGAATGACTTTCGAAACAGGACTTTATAAATTCATAGAATTTGCAAAAAAAAAAAAAAACTTGTTCGTCTGTCTTGTAAGCTATGTAAAAAGATGTTTATCGTTTTGTTTATTTTTTGAAGGCCTTGAAACCACGTAGATATTATTAATAATCTCCCTATACCTCATGCTGCACTATTCAATTTCTATCCTCATACAGAGGGTCAGATCTAGACAGGATAATTCGCTGAGGTTAGTGGGGATGAGACTGTCCCCTCACAATTGGTAAATTTTCGCTTTGACCGATTAGGGCCCCTAAGCAGACGCACTTAGGAGTTCACGTCGTCACGCGAAACGTTGCGTGACGACCTTTTAAGTTCTTAAAATAACTTTAGAGAATGGGTTAGCATTTCTAACATCATGGGAATTAGGTAACTGACTATTTCTGAAAGTAATACAATTGACTAACCAGAGTAGGTGTAGTCGCGGGGAAGAATTATATAACTGGCTGTCACTCCTCAAGAACGAAAAATTAATGGCACAGGTATTTGATTTTTTTTCTATGCTTCTGCCATTCGCGTTTTCAACTATACCCGTTACTTTCTTCTTAGAATAGCCAAACTATCCTAGATGAAAATATTTACATACATGAAATATATTGTCGCTAAAAAGCAAACAAATCACTTCTTTTTCGTCAACAACCAGTTTAGAACCGAGTTCCGCCGGGGCTATTTTGGATACTCATTCATTTCCCATTATATGGGAGAATACACCTAATTCAAAAAACGTTGTCATCGCCAAAGGCGATATGCAATAGGTGAAAAGCGATAGGATATATGTCATTCCAAGATCCAAGAATAGCTGGAATGACTTGTGTTTCTTATTCTTATTCTCGTCAAGAGTATGGACCTTAGTGCTGAGACTGATTCGATGTTCCTTGTATTCAACGAAACCATTTCCATGTCGGAATGACCTATCGCCTATCGCCTTTGGCGATGACAACGTTTTTTGAATTAGGTGTATAAAGAAATTGTCTTGATGAAATCATTCAGTGCATTTAACTGGCCATGCACCTACCCCGGCGTAGTTATAGTATGCAAAACACCCACACTTGTACGTTAAACTTAAATATCTTTAATATAGACTCTGAGGGAAAACTCAAATAATATTAGTAAAAAAATAAGATTAACTTAAAAAGTTCTAAAATAACAGATTTGACTTTCGGTAAAAATATACATTTATTAAAAGGCCATACTTTTATATAGTTTTTTACTTATCGGGGTTTTATTGGGCCCTAGGAGATTTATGTCATTGAGAGAAGAACGGAAAGCTTAGGTAACTTTTCAAAGAAATGATTATGCTGCTTTTCCTTGCACCATTTTCCCCCTAACACTACCATCTGGAATAGCTCCATACACCGAATCGAAATATTACCCAGCGGCCAATTTGAATTGCTATTGTCGTTTCTGGACTGACCAGCCTCAAGTTCACATCGGGAAACACACAAGAGTCTTCACATGTAAGAGAACCTATAGTCAGTCCAGAACAATAATTATAAACCTATAGTCAGTCCAGAACAATAATTATGTCAAATGGTCGCTATATTTCAATTAAGTGTATAAACCATAAAAATAAGGCCTATAATGTCTATATAACTTTTGATAATTTACACGTTACATGTAGTTAAAAAAATACCCTTATATATAATGTACTCTGTAAATGTATTGATAAATGTGATATTTTAAATACACTCAAGCTTTCATTAATGATGAAAAGGTAAATTATACACCGTGAAAAGATGAAAAAACTTACTGACGTTTCGGACGCTAGTCCTTCGTCGGAGTAAAAGAGAAGAAGTGGTAGAAAGGAGTGTATATATGATAGAATAAGACAAAAGAAACCAATGAGAGCAAGGTAGGCAAGCTTTCATTACATGCGTCTCCAAGACAAGTATTGAGGGTCAAGTCATCCTCGGGAACCCAAGGAGTTTGCTTAGAGCCATTGAAAAAATTTTATGCTTAGTTTTGAATAATAAAAAATCTATTGCGACACTAGAAAAAAGCGTTTGCGCATGCGTGAATTTAAAGACGTTTATCAATCGTTTTAGTATGATGGGAAATTCAAGTTTTTCCAACTAAAATACGAACGACGAAATTTTCCTACGTACCAGGAAGAGGCTCGAGTCCTTCGTATTCTGTGCCAAATCTATTAATATTAGGAAAATCGCTTTAACTTTCTCTACAAAGATAGATCACTTTGACCCGAAATAAATCTATTGTTTAGAACTGATTGAGAAAGGAACAAAAAATGTCTAAAGGAAGTGAAGGTCAGTTCTGTCAACGATATTTTTAGTTCATTAAAAATGTTTTTTAGGGAGAATCTGTCGTTCATGCTTTCGCCGGTTCATCTTTGATAGGAATATTAACATTGCACAGTATGTTTTCAATTTGGAGTCGATAAATTTTGAGGCTTTTGTCCTCCATCAATTTTATAACGCTCTGGTCTTGTAGTGTTTTAATTGATGGAAACCAAAAACCCAGCATTCCTTAAATGCTAACAAGTGGCAGAGCCAGAAACACCCCTAAAGTTGTAAAGTTTGTTACATGACGCACCATCAAATTTGAAAGTATGTACATGTAGTACTGATACAGGATTAGTATTATTTTATAGTGACGGAAAACGATTTTCAATATTCTAAGAGACGATGATGAAAGCTTTAGCGTAATACACCTATCATTGTCTTCAATATACCAACCCACTTATCTATATATATTTGCAATTTCTTTGTCATTTTTATCTCTAACTTCTAAATTTCATGCACTGCGTGTGTAATAGTATTTTTTGTTGTATTGTATATCTTTCCATTCCCTGTCTCAAAACATTAATGTATTAATTTTCCCATCCATTATGCTTTAGCAGTTCGCTTTCAAATTGTTCGTTCAGACCACCTTGATCAGATACTCCTATCGGAGTTTGTGTTTTCGTAGAATCGATAAATTTTTCAGTACCTTTAAATAATTTGACACTAAATTTGATCCAAGGCACACCCTGTATTATGAAGTCCCGACCACACCTTATCGATATCGGGGCAAATAAATATCTCGAACTAAATAAGTGACGCTACATAAAAAGGCTTTTCTTGCACTTTTTCATGAATTCAACGTCGTATTTGAATCGATTTTTTCGGCTTGGGCGTAATTTTGCCCCATTTGTCTTTCCCTATTAATTTGTTTAACGGTTGCACATGACACACGAATATGCATACAGCTAAGACAAAGAATCTTATTCTCAAGGGACTTACAATGGCGTGATCTGAAATTGGACAAGATTACTTCCATTCCATTAGTATCGGTTTCCAAGCCATAATTATTTAAAATAAAAAGTCTTATATTCAGATTCCTTATTATCCCAAAAGGAACTTGGATTTTTCCCCTTGTTGTGAACTAGTTTTACATACTCCCACTTATCCCTTTTTATCATATAGCCACACAGTTACACGTGTTTATACTATGTGAGGTTTCTTTTCGTCTCACCTGCCTGAATGTCCTGCATTTCAAACAGCTTAGAAGGATTTAATCATTATATCATGTTCCACACGAACCGACGCTCCCAATGGACCTAGTAAAACAATAATCGCTCGATATAGCTACTTTCAAACAATGATGACGTAACCATGGCTCGATTACAAGCCCAAGAAGACCTGCAGTGAACGCTCCACATCCTGTCGCAGCCGAGGCATATCCAAGAACAAATTCTCTTTGTGTACTGTCTTCAATCTCGGTGAAAACAGCCAGCATGTTGACGTACATTATACCAATGATGACTCCAGCAATAAACGAGAGAATCAGAGGCAAAGACACGCTTGGAAGGAATCTGTACCAAGCTGCAAATATGAAGAACACGAGGATGGACACTTCTGCAATTGCTAACGCCCACAAGCGTCTAATGATCAGCTTTGGGACCCAGCTTGGCTTGATGTATGAGAAGAAGATCAAGTACGACCGGCCAAAGAATTCCCCTCCGAGAAATACGAAGATATAGTACTGGTAATGGTCCCTTGGTGGGAATGGGGCGTCGACGAATGCTATAGTTGTAATGACAGCTTGGATGATCAAGTACTCGGCAATCCATGCCATAATAACACAGAACATGATTGGCAAAACATCTTTCACAGCTGTCACCTTTTCGAAGAATGTCAAAGCCTGGCGGGGTTTGCTGTCTTCGGCTTCAGAGTCCATTGGCTTGTAAGGGACTTTTGCGTAGGTTCCCTGTTGAGATTGGGTGCCTTGGATATATGTGTGCTTACGTTCCATGATTCCATAAAAGGCAAGCAAGAGAACCAGGGAGAATGCCATGATCGATATTGCTGTGTTTGGTGGTATGCAAGCCCATGTCGTCATAGCTAATAGAGAAAAGGAAAAAAAACCGGTTTATTAACAGTGTCCTTAATCAGGAAAGTAAAATACGGAGGACACTAGAGAAAAACGTTTGCGCATGCGTGTATTTCTAATTAAACTAGGATTATAATTATAATTAAACTAGGATTTCAATCGTTTTATCATTAAAACCATTATTTATGATAATGGCAAAGCATCTTTTTTTAGCCAAAACCCCGTATGAATTTCTATGACTTCATAGACTTCATAAAGGTACTTTTAGGAATACAATTTAATAAGAAAACTAGTTGTAAAAGACAACGTTTCGCTTACGTTTGCTGATCTACGAAATGCCATACATCAAAGACCTTAAACCTGAACTTAACATTTAATTATTTCATTGTTATTCATTAAACTTTCACACTTCCTTTAGCTGTATTTACATATAGTAGAGTTTACAGTTTTCATTAGACCATAGTTAATGGAGCGGAATGGTTGGGAAAACTATTGTTCTATGCTTTTTTTCGACTTTATTCGTCGTTATATGACGTTGAACGTGTACAGAGAAGGAAAAGTTGCTCCATTAGTTCATATTATTAAGAAATATAGTAAAATAAATAAATAAGTTTACCTAAAATTTAGTTAACCCTAAAATACTTTTTAAAATACTTATTATTTGTTCATCAATACAAATTGTTTTTGAAAAGGAAAATGGCTTTTTTTATGCTTTCTTATTTATCATCCAAGTACTCCAGACATACACCTATTTCAATGAACGTGGTCATCGCCAGAGGCGATGGGCGATAGGTCATTCCGACATGGGAATATTTTCGTCGAATACATAGAATAAGGAATAAGAAGCAGAAACAATTCATTCCAGCTATTCTTGGATCTTGGGACCTATCTCCTGTTGCTTTTCGCCTATAACCTTAGGGACCAGTCATTTTTTAAGTCGGAGAGAGGGATGGAGGAGAAAATATTTTTGATGCAAAAAAATTTCCAGACCCCTACCTAATAGCATTCATGTTTTTTTTTTATTTCTCCTTTCAACCTTTCAAGGCCCCCCACATTCCACTAAAAAAATTGAGGGCCCTCCATTTTCTCCTCCTGGAGCAGAGTCCGCATTCCCCGAACTATTAATCATTAATATAACAATGGTAAATATTTATTTAATAGCATACCTCGACTTCAATGATTAATGTACTAACTCGTCCATTTTAGCTTATCCAGCATATGAGACTATGAGACCCGGCATTAACGACAAACTTTAATTTCAGTCTGCCGGTATTGTAAAAATACAATAACTGTCCAAAATATTTAATGGCATCTAGTAAAATGTTTTTATGCTTTCCTCAAAAAAAATCAATCGGAATAACATAAATTAAAATATAAAACAAGAAAAGAGAGGAAAATAAATGGAAACAAAAGTTGATCGATTAACAATGCTTTTAAATCAGTTTGGAAGCCTTTTAATAGCGGTAAAAGAATCCTTTTTAACAACATTCTCTTGAGATCGTTTCTAAAGCAATTCAATAAAATCACAGCAGTGTTATGTGTTATCGGTTCTAAAACCATGCACTCGGCTATGCGTCATGGTTATTAAAACAAACACTACGAACATCGTATCAATGAAAGAACTTTGGCATAAGCCATTACTTACCAGTATAATACAAAGGCGCCAAAGCAATTCCTGCACCAGTACCAGCCGAAAAGGCTCTAACGGCTGCTTCGTGATAGAAAGAGGTCAATGCGATAAACGATAACTCTCCCAGACCGAATCCCAGCGACGAAAAGCCGACACCAACCAACTTAACACTAACATGCTTCCCAAGTACTACCATCACTAGCCCAGAAGCCTCGAGGAAAAACACCGTCAACACACGTACAAAATAAGGAACTCGCTGGACGAAATACGGAGCGATCAAAGTCACAGAAAAATATGGCCCAATGTTTGCTACGAGTACTGCAGAAGTTGGAACTAGAGTTCCTTGAAGAATATCTTGAGCCCCAGAAATAATCAACGAGTAGGTAGCATAGAGTAGAAACCCGAACATAAAGAACGCAAGGATGGTTCTTGGGCGCTCTCCAACGGGAGCATCTTCGGTTTCTTCCGCTCCGTCTACTTCTTTTACATCTGAAATCAAACTGGCAGAAGATTCCTTGTCGTTGCTGCTCAAATTTTTCTCCATGGTTGAAAATTTACCCTTCTAATCAAAGGGTTGACCCTATATCTTGGTCGCTTCGATCCTCTTTCACTATCCCAAAATAACAGCTGCATTGAAATGATTTGCATAACCTCTTAGTCCGTCTGTACAATATAGTTCCACAGACGCATAATTATTCCACATTAAAATGACTTGGCTTCCTCTCGAGTGAATTCAATTGTGTGGCCAGGAGCGTTTCTCAATTGAACGCCCGCAATTTCTGTTGTATCAGAAAATTAAAACAAGCTAACAAGACCAATTTGTAGATTTTTTGCTACCATCGATACCAATTGAAAATATCTTTAAAAATTGTTCCTTGTTTCGAGCCATGGGGAAAAGACTCGTTGCCACAGTTCTGATCTAGCGATGATTGTTGAATGTATTCGAAGCCTTGGCGGTTTATCAATTTTTTCCCAAAAAAAAATCTATTTAAATCTTCCTCTTCTTTCCTTTATCTTTGTGTTTTCGGGCTTTTGTTATTAAATGCGATTAACGTATTGTAATACTACTGTTAGACATGGATTTAAATCTGACCGGCATCAATATTTTCTGATTCAGAGCGATAAAAGGAGTACCTGCCAAATAAGTCGAAAACACTAGAGGCTCACTGACCTTGGTACCTGTAAACACCTCATATTTTGTTTTACTAAAAAAACATCCCATCTTTTCATTTCGCTTTTTCATTCCTTTGGGGCTTCTTAAAAAAGTTTTTAAAATGCTTAATTAAATCTAAGAAAATATTGAAAGTCATTTATGACAGCGCTTAAATTGATTAGCATCAAATGGACCAAATCCACTTGGGCGTAATGTTTTGGCCATTTTAGACCAGGTCATTCCCTTGGGAATAAGATTATTTGTTTGAGTCGTATCTATATTCGTGCATCTTCTCATGCGCAACCGATAAACAAAGAAATGATACTCTAGGGAATGACATGTGGTCTGAAATGGGAAAACAGGGGATTAGGTCCATTATTCTATCTTTGATAGTTTTCGCATCGTTGACATGATAATAGACCGGTCAAAGATATGCTTGAGTGTCCAGCCAAACAATGGGTAGTTTTCCCAATGGAATACAGAATGTCCGACCAAAAAACTCGAGTTCGACAAGATTTTTTTAGAATTTGCCGATTTCTTTCTTAATGTACCTTTAGAATGCATTGAATCTAAGAAAGACATTTATGATTTTCCGCAATACTCCCATTTCGATTCGCCTTTGATCATTCTTAGCCTCGATTGTGTACAAATGTAAGGTCCATTGTATGGTAAGGAATGTACGTACTACGGAACAATACGAGTTGATTAAAATGCCACGGGTTTTGGTTAAATAGCTGCTGAATATTATAACGCACAACCGAGACTAAGGCTGAGTAAAGAGAACACGAAACTGGAGTATAGGTGTCTGTTCCATGCTGTATATCAAAAACACATTTTAGTTTGTCCCACGTAGAACTTTGAATGCAGAGTAATGTCAGAGGCGTAAAATTTGTACAAGAAAACAAGAATTAAGAAGTTGCCCTCTAAGTCTTGAAACCAAGGAAATAAGAGTCAAGTAAGCTAAGGTTGATTTAACCATAGTTAATGGATATAATATTAACTATGATTTAACTTCAAATTGATGAAAATTAGTGCATATAGGTACATACCAGACCTGGCTTTGTAGTTTAAAAATATGAGATTGGTATAGTTCTTATCGCCTGTTATAAACAAGAAGGGAATGTGTGCACGGGCACAGGGGAGGATTCAGGGGAGGGGTGCAGGGGGTGCGCACCCCTCTCTGGTTACACTTTATGCTCCTACTTCGAAGATAACCAATTTTGTTTTTTGCCTTTGATTCTAAGGGGTGCACCCTTTCCTAAGTTAACTTTGTGCGCAGCACCTTCCCTGAACAAAATCCTGGATCCGCCCCTGGGGCATAATCTGCGCAAAGCTTCGTCTCTAACTTTTTCAAATGCAACACTAACCGTGTTAAGAAAAATTCTCTCTCATGTAAAAAAATTGTATAATAACAAGAGAATATGATAGTAATAATTTTATTGGATATACACAATTAACTGGGAATCCAGTAGTTTACATCGTGGTCCGAGAAAAGAAAGTTATATAGATAGCAGTCATATTATTGTTCTACCAAAACAATAGAAACTTTCTGCACAATTTTTACAAAATAATTTTTACACCAACATGGCCGCAGTGACATCACGTGAAAGCACTCTATAATGATAAAATACAATTCTATATTTTATTTAATTTATGAAAAGGTCTATTAATTTGCTATGTACTATGGATTTCTAGTTTAATAATCATAAATTATCGTTTACTTATTCGTCGTTTTGAGGGATAATTAGTCATTCAAATTTTTCAATGGCAACTGACATTTACGGGCTAATTCATATGCCTTGCAGCTCAAAAGATGGCTTATTTTAGTAAATTAATGACTCTTTGTAAATTTTCATGTCAGCTTTGTTTGTCTTACCTGATTCATTTGTTTAGCGTGAAGTTTAAATTGTTTAATTAATTGGTTTTTATCTCACGAATTATTTTGGGACTTTTGGTGATACTAATGGCATAAGATATACTAGAGTGAAGTCATTAAACCCGTGAAATAGATATTAGACTAATACACTTTAGTAGACCCTAATTCCATTGTTTTCTTTTGTGTCTATTTCACTATTACACGTTGACTAACGTTTTTTATTTCACGGGTTAATTGCCTTCACTCTATTAGATATCAATTTTTTTTCTGATTATATTTTCTTGGACAAACTTTCTATTCAGTTTAAAATCCAACAAGACACCGCAAACGAAGGAAGTCGTTGCTCCTCTGTTTTAGCAAATTGCCGGCCTTGAAAATCAGTAATATTTTGAGTTCCATTTATTAACGATGGAACATTCGCTCAAAGACTTTTTTATTTTATAGACATCTTTACTTGGGCGAAATGTTTTCCCATTCCAGACCACGTGTCATTCTCTTGAGAATAAAATTCTTTGTTGAGTCATATCCATATTTATTTTATGTCTCTACACAGCACAATTGTAAACAAAAAAAGGATACTCTATAGATTGACTTGTAAAGGTAAAAAGCTCCATCTCAAGAAGTCCATTAAAAACTTGCCAAGATTTAGCTTCAAATTTTACAAGACACAGCAAGCAATACGTCTATATGGAAGACATTTCGCAGGGTTTTTGTCAAGCTGCTTGGGAACCAGTGTATATACTATCGGGAGCTCTAACCACGCTACTTCATCGCGTTGCGTTAGCAGCCGGAAACCTTCCTCCACATCTAGATGTGACGTCTTTCAAAGTTGAAGACCTAGTGAAGCAGTAGCCACTGTCTTTGAATGTTGAGATGCAGTGTGTCCTTAGAAGAGGCTCGACGTAAAGTCCGACCAGGGCGGCAGTAAGAATCCCAGCACCCATTGCACAAACTGAGTATCCCATGATGAATTCACGGTGTTTTTGATCGAAAGACTCTCGAAAAAATACCAAAACACAGTTGAAGAGCATACCAATGACAACACCAGCTGAAAGGCAAAGGAGGAGGACAACGCTAACTCCTGGAAGAAACCGATACCAAGACTCGAAGATAAAGAAGAGAAGGTGAAGGATTTCGATGATGGAAAGGGCCCATAATTGTTTCCAGGTAGGAGAGGATATCCAGCTTGGCTTAAGATAGGAAACAACAGCGCTGTAGGACCTTCCAAATACCTCCCCAAGCATAAAGACAAAGATATAGTACTGATAGTGATCTCGTGGTCTAAAAGAAGCGTTGGTGAAGGCTATGGTGGTGAGGACAGACTGAATAATCAGGTACTCCGAAAGCCATGCTGCGAACAATGGGATTAGCGTGAGGGAGAAGATGGTCCTCATGGCAGACATTTTTTCCTTCCATGTAAGGCTATCTCTTTCAACGAATATCGATGCCTTTGTATTGGGTGAAGTTTCGTTAGACTCGCTCTCAGGCTCTTGGTCTGGTAGTTTTGTATAGGCCACGTCTTCACAAGTGGTGGGTTGGGTACTTGTATCCAGGTGTTTCTTGTCCATGATGTTATAGCAGACAAACAGAAGTAGTAACATGCCAGCCATGATGAGCATCGTTACCTTAGGTGATATACAGAGCCAAGTTGTCATTGCTGGAATAAAAAATCAAGACACTGGACATTATTTCTGGGATAATCAAATGCTTACTAAACTTTAACAGAATATTTTGTAAACATGAATCACTTTAAATTTTCCCTTCAATCTGCTTACTGAATTTGTGATCCGTTTTTAACTCAATGACGGAACTACTATGCCTCATGGCCAGGGCCGTCGCCACCATTTGGATAGTGACCAGTCCGATTTATTGTGACGGCACTATATTTCAAATGCCGCGACAGCGCGAGTTCGTTGAGTTAACGCAAAGGAATGAGAACGGAGAGTAACTTTACAAAACAATTTATTGAATCGCACGACTGAATAATTTTAACTAATACAACTTGAAATCGTAAATATCACACGCTAGGAAAATAAATATCACTAAG